TAATGCAGATGATGCAGAGGAGTCTCTAAGATGGGGAAACTGTGTGATATACCCGCTTGTTGAGCCCAGAAAATATGTGCAGATGGGGGCTTGTAGGTCCAACAGTGTCCTTAATGCTGCCATCAGATCATGGGAGTCCTTCACTCCAGGCTGTGGCTGAATCCTTGTGTCATTCATCCCTGTCTGGTAGGGCTGTGGGTGACCAGTGTCTCCAGGTGGTGGGGAAGGTTTTGGTTAACGGAGGAAATGCTGTGTGACTATGGTTCTGGCAACAAGCTGACCTTTGGCTCAGGGACCAGACTGTCCGTCCAGCCCAGTGAGTGAGCAGCTTTCCTGTGTGTCCATTGTCCAGAGTCCTTGAGTGTCCAGTGGAGAGTCTTCTAGACAAACTTCTTGTGTCTGAGTCACTTTTCTTAAGGGAGGGAGATCACAGCTGTCATTTCATTTCATGCACATAATGAAGGGGGGTCTCTGAGATGGGGAATCTGCAATCATTTAGCCCAGAATTTGCATCGCAGCCATTCAGATGGGGGCTTCTGCTTGTAGGTCCAACAGTGCCTTTGACATTTCCATCAGATCATGGGAGTCCTTCAGTCCAGGCTGTGGCTGAATCCTTGTGACATTCATCCCTGTCTGGTTGGGCTGTGGGTGAGCAGTGTTGCCAGGTGGTGGGGAAGGTTTTTGTTAAGGGAGGAAATGCTGTGTGAATACAGGATCAGGTGGTTATAAACCTGTCTTTGGCTCTGGAACGAGACTCATGGTTAGGCCACGTAAGTCCAACACTGCTCCTGTGCTTTCTGTTCTGTTTGAGGGCATTTTTGGGGTGGCTGGGAGCAGCAGCCTGGCTGGGTGTTTGGTCAGCTCTGTGTGTCCATATCCAGGGTGGACATTGCTTTAAGGGGTGTCCAAACCAAGCCTCCTTGCTCTCTGTTTGACTGGGATGCACATGGTGGCCCCACGCCTGCTCCCAAAGGTGCCGGCTGCCCATGGCAAGGCTGTCCTGTGCCCCTGCACCCTAGGGATGCACTGCCTCCCTCCTGCTGCTCACTTTGAGGGTGATCATGGTTGGGCAATAGCTGGGAGAGAGTTGCTGGACTTTTTGTTAAGGGAGGAAATGCTGTGTGATTTTGGTTCTGGCTACGGCAAGTTGACCTTTGGCTCAGGGACCAGACTGTCCATCCAGCCCAGTGAGTGTGCAGCTTTCCTGTGTGACCTTTGTCCAAAGTCCTTGAATGTCCACAGGATAGTGGAATTTCTTCGTTTCTGTCTTGCCCTTGCATGTGTTGAGGGGCACATATTTGAGAAACCTGTGTCCTGGAGATGGAAATCTGGGATTCTGGGAAGGTGGGGCAGTGCCTGTGACCCGGACCCCAGGATGGCTCCAGGCTTTTGTTTCAATCCCTTTTGTCTTTGCAGTGCAAGCAGTTTTGGGGCAGGGATCCTAAAGCATTCCCTGATAACTGAACGGTAGGGTTTGCCTGTCTCTGGCATGTTTAGTGACCATCATCAAATGCAGATTTTCCCAGGGATTTGAACATGGAAATGGGATTTTGTCAAAGAGAGGCCAGAGGAGATCTCTGGAAATGTGTGTGGGTGTTCAGAGCCTCTTTCAGGGGCAGATCCCAGCCCTGCAGCAGCCCCTGATTGGGCTGGAGGAAGAGACCCATTTTGTAATGAGCTCTCACACAGTGTGACTTCTGCAAACTGGGGAAAACTGACCTGGGGGAGTGGAACCAGACTTGTCGTGGTCCCGGGTGAGTTGTGTCTCCTCTGAGCCAAGGTGGGCTCCACACAGACAAT